AAAATTGCTGTGATAGACTTCGAAGGATATCGTTGAAAGTGCAATGTCGATTAAAAATCGCAGTGATATAAACACAAGTGATGACCATCGAAACGATATATTATGAATATCTAACATAAACGAAGGTTATTGATACGAAATTATTATGAAAATGATAATATTTGCAAAATTTCGCACATGAAGATATCAAAATTGATAACCTTCGAAGGTTATCAATACGAATTTACTATGAAAACGATAATATTCGTAAAATTTCGTATATAAAAATATCAAAATCGATAATCTTCGAAGGTTATCGATATAAATTTACTACGAATACAATAATATTCGCAAAATTTTGCCACATGAAAATATCAAAATCGATAACCTTCGAAAGTTAGCGAAAACCTTTGAAGGATAACATATTGAAAAATAGCGAAATACTTACGTTAACGTTAACTTTCGAAGGTTTTCATTAGAAAAAATTTCCTGATGAAGTCATAATTAAAATTTTTAAAAATAACAATAAAAATATATATGTATATGTAAATTTTTATAATATGTTAAAAAAATAAATTTTTTTTTAAAAAAAAATTCTATTATATGTAAAATAAATTTACAAATTTTATAAAATTTGAAAAATTCTACAATAAATTTTTGAAAATATCTGTAATAAAAAAATATTAGAAAACTTATAAAAAATTTCAAAAATTTTTATCTCTTAAAATTTTTTGATATATATAAAATAATTTACAAATTTATAAAATATTTCGAAAAATTATGTAAAAATTTTTCGAAAATATTCACAATAAAAAAATTCTAGAAAATTTGTATACAAATTTTTTGAAAATTTTTTACTTCGAAAATATTCAAAAACTTGTAAAAAATCTCTAAAAACTTTCTTCTCCTAAAATTTTCTGATGAATTTGAATGACATCAACTTAACTATTTTTTTATTAATATACTCCTTGATTATTAAATCTAAAGTAATCTTATTGTTATTAATATCAGAATGATTTGATATCACTCCCATCATTACAATAGATAAAGGTGACTTTGGTAATTCTTCTTTTTCAAAATTTAACAATACTATTTCTGATGTAAGTATTTGTAAATTAATAAAAATAAGAATATTAATAATATAAATATTTTTTATGTATAAATTTTTATAATCCTCAAAAACATCATATATATCTTTTTTTACTTTAATTATTTTTACTTTTGCATTATCAACATTTGTTTCTGTTCCAAAAAATCTTCCTTGCACACTTATAATATTACCTTTTTCAAAATAATTCATATATTTACTCTTTGAAATATTTTTAGAATAAAAAGCAGTTATGTAAAAAAAAATGTTTTTATTCTGAAACTTGAAAAAAAATTCCTATAACATTGGTGATGAAATTGTTTTTTCTTAAAACTTCATTATATTAATCAATATAACAAATCATATTTATGTTACAAGGTATCTTTTTTTTTATAATTATTATTATTATTTCTTAATTTTTTTTCTTTCTGAAAAAAAGGATTTAACAAGCCAAAGTAAATCAAGCTCCTATTTATACAAAAATACAAAGAAATATTTTTAATACATATAAACTGTAGAGAACAATAGCAAATTTTTTTTAGATTGTCACATCAATAATATCTAAAATATATTAATAATTTTTTTTAATTTCATTAATAATTTTTTCTTTAGAAAATTATTTAAAATGTATTAAATATTAATAATTTTTTTTTAATATTAGCCAAAGTTCATTTTGCAATATACTAAGTACTTTCAAACTTGTAATAAAATATTAATTCAAAAAATATCTTTATTAATTAGTTGTAATTGTAATAACTAAAAATTATTATGCGATCAAAAGAATATTTGTTAGAAAATGTTAATAAAAACTTCAAAAAATTTATTTTTTTAATCTTGGCTAAAGCTTATTATACCAAAGATAAATATTTGTAATAAAACATTGATAATTTTTTTACTAAAAATATATTATATATTTATATTAATATAAAACTAAAAAAAAGATATATATTAAAAATACCTTCTATTAAAAAAATTTTTTTTCCTTTTTTTTTCTCTCCTTTTCCTCTTCTTCTTTCTCTTTCTCTTCCTCTTCATTATCTTCTATCTCTACAACAACAGATTGATTATTATCTGTAAAAACATTAAATATATAAATTTATTATATTTATTATTAGTTTTATTTCTATTTATATTTATAAATAATAAATGTATAAATAATAAATATATAAAATAAAAAATGTAAAATAATAAATAATAAAAAAAAAAGACAGAACAATGCAGTTGCACCACTAACCACATAAAGCAATATTTTTTTTGAAAAAGAAATAACACCTGTAACATTAACACAATAAACTAAAAGGTAATAATATCTATTCAACCAGGTCTCAAAATCCATTATACTTTAATTAGGATAAATTTATTTTATGATTGTCATTAATAAGCAAAATTACATAATTTTTAATCCTAACTCTAACTATATTAATTTATTCAACAATAACAAGTACACTTTTTTTTAATAATTAAACTAATAAAATATACTCTCACAATTTACATGATTGAAATTTAAAAAAAAATAAATCTCAAAGATATAATTTCAATCAAGAAAACAAATTATATTTCTTGTGTTTTAAATTATTTTGTTCTGTCAAGAAAACAAATTATAGTTCTTGATCTTAAAAAAACCTTTTTAAAGTGTGTTCTTAAATATCAATACTATTTTAGCAAAAAAAATTTGCAAAACTTTAAAAAAAAAAATGAATACTGCAAATGGAAGCATGTTTATGTTGTTTCCACTGGTTTGAAGAAAAACAATTTACACATATCTTGAAAGAATTTGAAATTACAAAACTTTTGAAAATAGAAATATAAATATTTGTAATAATAAGAGAAAGGCCAAAGCAAATTTAAAAGAAGTTATACTGTAAACAACCTCATATGTTTATATAAATATGTGCTAATAAAATTTAATTCGAATTCATATTTGCAGAATTTAATTTCTCCTACGTTTTAATTTTATAAATTCTTTTAAAACTTCATCCAATTCTTTAAAATTATTACCATTATTTGAAAATTGTTCATGTATAGTTGTTTGTCTATGCTAAAAACAAAAAATATGATATAAATTATTAACCTAAGAATTATTAAATTATCGATTATAATAAAGAAACTTACTGATTCAAGGCAATCATAAAATAACCCACAATTCGCGCAATAACCAGACTTTTCATCCTTTACCACTAGAACCTTTTATTATTATTTCAGTATTTTTTAATAAAAACCTTAATAATTTAAATTATTATTACCTAATTTGGTCTTTTTAGCCTCCTTCTCTTCAGAATAGGCATGGATGGCTTTCCTTTTTCCTAAGGTCTGGAATAAAGACCATCCTTTAGGAATATCAAACCAAAGATTCTTAAGTTGGCTCTCATCTTTATAGACTCTGGACACAATAGGCCGGTGAAGGTCGTACTTATCTCCAGCGAAAATAGAGTATCGTGTTTGCTGTGCCTGCTTTTGACCCTTATTTGTGGACACTTTGTTTACGTTCTTGTTCTCTTTGTTATTGTTCTCTTTGTTATTGTTCCTGTTCTCTTTGTTATTGTTCCTGTTCTCTTTGTTATTGTTATTGTTCTCTTTGTTATTGTGAATTATTTTCTTCATTTTTGAAATCTTTAAAAAGATGTACTTAAATTCCGGTTTAAATAAATTTGAATGTATACGTAAAGAAAATAATTCGTTTATTTATATCTTATAATTGCTTTTAATATTTACATAGTAATATATTTGCAAATAAATTAAATAAATTAAATAAATTATACGCGTATTTTATTATATTATATACACGAAAAACCTTTCAATTTATATATTCTTTTGAAATATTAACCAATCAAATTTATAAATAAATAAAAAAAAGTGATAATAAAAAAGTGAAGTTGGCGACTTCCCTTATAATTTTTAATTTTTAATAAGTTATGTTTACAATAAGTACTTTTATTAATAATAAAGTTCTTTTGGAGCCAATTAAAAAATAAATGAAAGAAAGAAAGAAGTGTATGTGTGAATATTATTATATTTTATTTCATATTTATAATACTTATATTATCTAAAACCTAAATCTCAATGCTGTAATATTACTATGATAAAAGTTCAATATTTAAAATTCCCCTTTAGTCATTCATTATAATTATACAAATTTATATAAGCCAATCAGTATACGTATTTAATGCTAATATTATGGTTATTTTTTGCTACGTGTAAATAAGATTTCTCTGTTTATATATATCTATATATAAAAATAAAATCAGATTCTTTTTAACGTTTTAATTAATAAAATGATTTTAATTATAAATCCAAAAGTAATGCAAAAGAAAAAAGAAATGTCAAATAATAGAAAATTGCTGAATTTTCGTTTTAGTAATGTGAATTATGATTGTGATGATGGCCTTTTTGGGGTCCTCTCTCCAATTTACTGACATCATGTCGTCCGTCACAACATTGTCTTACATTTTCTAGATCATCGTCATCTTCGTCATCCATCCCATTATATAAACTTGATCCAACTAGTTGAGGTTGACCTTCAATGAATTCAGTTGATAAAGGGGAATTTGGTGCATCTGGATTGCGGAACATTGATTTAAGTTTACTAAAACTTGATTTTTTCTTAACCTCTCTATTACCCCCTCTCAATGACCCATTGGGAGATGTATTACTATTTAAACTATTGGTGCTCGGTTGATTATCCCAGGGATCTGTGCCCATTCTTGATGGTCGTCCACTTGCTTGACTTTGTGTTTGATTAGTTTCGTCTGGTCGTTGTAATAAATAACTTAAAGCCTGCAATATACAAAACATTCATGGTTAAACGTAAAATTTTGTATCTTAACTTTACAAGAAAGTAATAATAACTTTAAACCCACCTGGTACCAATATTCGTGTCTTTCTTTAGAAGCTGCAGTAATTTTTAGTTCGCGGTCTGGAGTTTTGATAATCAAACTCATGTGATGCAAACCAGGTGGTGATGGGTTATGATCAACAACTTGCCGAACAGACTCAATGTAAGCTATTAAAGAATTCGAAAAAATTTAATATCATTTGAAATAAACAATAAAAAAAAAAAGAATAAAAAACTTTAGAGAAAAATGGGACACATACCGAAATACGACGTTCCACCCTTTGACGTAGGATCCTTTGGTTCATAACTTCCTGGATCTCTGTTACTCCAATACAAAGTTTTGGTGTAAGGATGCACCCAAAAGAATCGTTTGTGTCTTTTTCCTGGTCCGAAATTACGTCGGGTATATTTGTGCAAGTATTCTCCGATCATTGTTTGTGTAATTGCATGGATAATATTTGGATCTGTTGCTGTTGGTATAGTCGTTGGTGCATTAACCTCTTGGTGTGGTGAATCGGACTGTCGACCAATTACATCTGCAGATGTGGAACTGCTTACACTCGATATTGAACCTGAGCTAGGTGAATGATGATGATGAAGATTATTAGAAGGTTCTTGAATATTGATTCCCCTTGATTGAATTTCATTTGAATTGATATTGATTCCCCTTGATCGAATTTCGTTTGAATGTATAGGGTTGTCTTCTGAGCTTTTTCTTCCGGTCAAACCATTAAGATGATTATTAAGAAGATGAGGAATTTGAGGTGATCCGGCCTGTTGCCCAAAGTTTACTGATGGAGTTGGTACTTTACGAATTAGAGCTGGTGGGGGGCCTGTTGATGGACGTGGTGGAGGATCTAAACTGCGAACTTGATCATTGAGTTTAATTTCACGTTGAGTAGTATTTCCATTATACTCTGAACTTTCCATTTCTGAATTTGCAGGAGCAGTGCTAATTCTTTTTCCTTGCTTATTTCGACCAGAACTTAAATCAAGAGTAAACCGTTTATTATCAACATTATTATCACCGGGTGCCAAAAGGATTGATTGGCGAGTGCTTGAGGCATCATTTTTAGAATTTTGTAAATTATTTTCGTAAACTGTATCACGGTTTCCGAATGTGAATTTGCCTGTATTAACTGTTGAAAATGAGTCACTTCGTTCTACTTCTACATCAGTTTGCACTTCAACATCTCTGAATGACTTGACAGGCTCTTCATTTTTAATTGTAATGATAGAATTTCTCGCAGATTTTCGGTGATTATCACGTTTTGAACTTCTTTTAGAAGCGAGAGCATTTGAATCTTTAGATGTAGCTGATCCTCTCTTAGAGTTAGTTTCATTAGCTGAAGTAAACGAGTCAACTGATGAAGCATCATCATCTTTGATCACTTTGCCATCTTTAATCTCTTCAACAAATTGTATACCTCGAGATTTTTGTTCTGTCGTACCATCCTCTTCAATGCCTTCAATAAGCCCTATACCTCGAGATTTTCGTTCTGTTGGTTCACTTATTCTTTCACGAACTATTGATTCTCTGTTCTTTGAATTATGCCCGTCAAGTTGTTCAGATTCGTCAATTGCTATATTTTGAGAGATCATTGACATTCGAGGTGATTTTAATGATTGAGAGGAATTTCTCTTTACTTTAGGGTTAATTAGACTATTGAGTGCTTCTGCTCTACGTGCTTCAACTTCTGTATTTTCTACAACTTCTTCTTCATCATCATTACCAGGAATATCTTCATCAATCCCTCCATCAACTCTGTTAGACATATTAGACATTCTTGATAATAATGAAGAAGTTCGTAACGAACCTTTACTAGCTCTAGAATTTCTAGATAAAAGATCAGGTTTCAAACTACGAGGTTTAAACATATCAGATGATGGACGATTGTCCTTATTTATAAAGGCCTCTTCATCATCTTCATCTCCGCCAGATATGATATCATGCTCATCTGCTGAGTACTCAATTTCATCTTGCGAATCTTCCACATTTCTGTCTCGAGATGATGAGTCATTCTCTAAAATATCGGAAAGGTCATTTTTTGCCTTTTTATTATTTTGTTTTCGAGCCTTGCGAAGAGAAGGATTAGCAAAATCTGTTTCAGATCGCAACACTTCAATTTGTTCCTGACTATCTGCTAGAAGTTTCCTTATTTCATATTTTTCACTTTTCTCTTTTTGAAGATTTGCGCGAAGATTATCAATCATTCGTTTGGCGTTATTAAGTGCTTTCAAAGTCTCAACTTCAACATTTAAGTTTTTACCCTGCAAAGCTGAAAGGATCGTTGCATTAGCTCCATTAGAAGCTAAATCACCATCCACGTTTATAGGTTGACCATCTTCATTTAGATATATATCATTTGACGTAGCACCTGGTTCGGGGGTACGCTTCCTTACATTTCTGGTGGCTACAATAGTAGTCAATTGACTTTTCAAATCATCAATTGTTTTTGATAGATCACTTTTTTCTCGATTAAGAGCAGCGACGTGCCTTCTATTGTTAGCCATGTCTTGTTCGTGACGTTTTCTTAAGGTTTGAAGACTTGTTATTAATTTTTCTTCTTTATCTTTAAGTTGTTCAATAACGTTAGTGGCTATAGCAAGTGCCTTTTCTATTTTAGTGTATTCAGTACGTGCTTTGGTCAATTGCTGTTGGATTTCTTCAAGTTGACGAGTAAGTTCTTGTTGTGTTAATTCTAAGTTCCAATTTGCATCCTTGAGTTGCTCTAATAATGGTTTGAAATTTTTTTTTTTTTCAAAATCTGTAATAAACACAAATTTAATTTAAAATAATTTGAATTAGAATATACCTTCAGCTTCTTCTTTTGCTCGTAGTTGCTTGGAATGATATTCAATATTATGTTCCAAATCAGCTTTTTCCGTTTCAAGTTGTTTTATTCTTTCCTCTTTTTCTTGTAATAATGCTTGTAAACGTCTAACTTCTAATAATAAATTTTCCCCTATCTCAGCTGCAAGTTCTATGTCTTTTGGTCTATTTTTTGCACTATTTTTTTCACGTCTCGAAAGTTTCCCCGTTGGCATGGTAAAAGTAGGATCTAAAACAGGTGATATGGGTGACATAGACGAAGAGACATTTACATCTAATCCACCCTATTTACAAAATTATTGAAGTCAATTAATTTAACTCTTTTAGATATCGAATTCAATTAATAATTAATAAACTTTATAATAATTCTTCTGAGACGAATAATTTTTTTTTTTTTTATCTAATTTGATTACACTTTGAATAATATTATTATAGCTCGATATTTACTCATTGATTGAATATTTTACTAATTACTTGAGATCATCTGTATAATTTTTTTTTATAAAATCGAGGCTACAAATATGAAATTAATTCCTCACCGTTGGCTGACCCTTATTTCCAAAAAAGACCTTTGCAGTATTTGCTTTGAGGGAATTTACTTCTTGTTCAAGTGAAGTTAATTTATCTTTAAGATCTTGAGGAACTTCATCACCTTCAGTTTTATCAATTTCCTGTATTTGTTTCTCTAATTCTTGTTGTTGCTTTACTAAGGTTTTACCTAACTCAGCGGTAACCTGTATTAGATTTTCTTGTTCTTTTATCTGGTCTTGTAATTGTTTTTTTATTGACGTTGGAGAGTTTGATAAGTAAACAGAACGACGTGTGGTCGATGGAGACGATACCACAATATCAGGACCAACGTTGACAACTTTATCTATAGAGTCTGACATTTTATTCTATCTATCTATCTAAAATGAAATAGACTATATAAACTATATAAACTATATATATATATATATATATATAACACTTTAAATTAAAATAAATAAATAAAAATTTTTTTTTTTAAAAATAAGTATTTTAATGACAGTTGTAATTAAGGTATAAAATGAGTGTATCCCAATCAATGGTTATAATAATAATAATATTCTTATGTTGATTTAAACAATATGAAAGTCAAAATCCTTCTAACAGTTCAACATGGTGAGAAGGAAATGAGTGTTTTACGCCCAACTGTCTTCTGTGCTGCTTTTTTTTTTGACAAAGAAAAAGAGAGGGGTTATTTAAAAAAATCGACGCTCTGCCTGAACTTAAATTGTAAATTCTTATTTTACGATTAGAAAAGAATTTGGTAATAATAAGATAGGACTAACGCAAAAATCTATTATTCACACTTTTTAAAAATATAAATAATATTTAATAATAATAAATGAGTGAGATTGGAAATCTGTCAGGATGAGATTTTGAATAAAGACCGAAAAAAATAAATAATAGAAATAATAAATTAAATAATAAAATATACAAAAAGAGGAAAGAAACAATTTATTAATTTAGCATTAGTCCAGCCAGATTTTTTTGAAGACGAACAAAAAAAGAGGGAGTACAAAAAATAATTCATATATGTGGTGCTTGATAGACTTCTTGTGTATCCACTATGGAAATGGCTAATTTTCACCACATGAACAACTTCTTTAACGACTTTGAATAAAATTCCTTTAATTTTTTTTTTTATTATATTGTATTATATTATATTATCCCCTGGTTCTTTTACATTTGATTCTTTACATTCTTTTGCTTATTAGTAAGAATTTTTAAGTATTACCGTAGTCTAATAACAAATTCCAACAATGGATTTTTATTGACAACAATTTATTAAATTTATATTTATTTTTTACGCGCGCTCATCAAATTTCCTAATGAAGAAGGAAGTCAAACTTTATTCGACCAAATTTATTAATTTATTTTGATGCACATTAGGTAAGTCACATCATTCTGCAGTTATCACATGATATTTAATTTATGTGCGAAAAATGTAATAGACGGTCAAGAAAAAGAAATCGTATTTATAATATTTCCAAAATAGGATGAAGTAACTATACTTGATTGATTGATTGATTGATTTGATTGAATATCAAAATTTATTTATATCAAATATTCGAAGCCATAAATTGTGATGTGTTAACTATAAAATATGCATTCTAATCGATATTGTTTAATAACTAAAAATATGAAAAGTGATGCATATTATTTTTTGGATAATAATTTACAGTAAATTTACAATATATTAAAAAAAAAAAATAATTAAATAAATTAAATAAATCGTTAATGGGAAAAAAATATATCAGTTATGGATTTTGAGCTGCCAAAATAGCTTCTTCTATCGTAAAATGGAAGAATCGTTTTTTGGATGTTACAGATATTACTGCTGGTATATGATTTATATTATTTTCTTCATCTATTCTTTTTTCATTGTTTTCTTCAATAATTTCAATATTTGCTCCAGATTTGTGTGAGAATTGATCAGGTGAAGTTTCCGGAACACCAAATCCAGCATTAAGCAAAGCATTCTGAACATGTTCTTCCAGGATATTTGCAAAGTGATATTCAACATTACGTGCTGAATGTTTATTCACCTGTATGTCAAATAAATGAATATTTTTTTTTATTCAATTTGAAAATAATTTATTTTAACTGATAATCATTAAAGATATTATTAATATTACAAACCGATTTCTTGACATCAAGTAAACTCTGTAGACCACTTGAATCAATTAAAGCAACTGCTGAACAATCAAATATAATTGCTCGTAATTCTGGCAACTTTTCATTTCGGGGAAGATTATAATTTTCATTCCACGGTTGATCACCTTTCTTAACTGCCATTTGGTACATTCGACGTGTATTAAGTCTAACATAATCAACAATAGCATCATCAATAAAAGTAGCATTCGGGAAAGTAATTGATTCTTTAAAGCGAAAGATTATAATTCCATCAGGTGGATTTGCTACTGTGGTGAATGAAGGATGGTCAAGTGGTACATATGCGTGTTTTGGATTATCTTTCCCACCAAAAGTTGTAAGAACAAGTTGACCTAGTGCGTCGACATGTGGTCGACCAATACGAATAAGAATAATAAGAATCGCAAATCCCCATGAAGCGAGGATACCGTTCTGATAAAATATAATATTCATAAATATATTGTCATTGAATGAATAACGAAATTATTTTTTTTTGGGATTGTACTTACGTCAAGAGTATTGACCATAGAAACTATGATAGCCACAGCAAAAACAGCTAGATCCCAAACTATAAAAAGATAATATATAAATATATACAATTTAAATTAATAATTACATGGAGAATTATGAAAATTGTGTACTTACTTTGGACTTGATATAACATCTTGATGTAAGAAGGTGATACTAATAAAACCAATACGGCTTGAATGATGATGGCACTACAGAGAAAGAAAAAAAAAAGGAAAAATGAAAAGAGAAAGAAAAGAAATATAAATAAGGTGAAAAAAAATTTATGGACATGTGGTTTAATGTATAGTACTTACGCTAGTGCAGCTTGAGGGATATAATAAAAAGCAGGTGTTAACACATAAAGTGCCAGAAGAACAAACAGGGCGGAAAATACACCAGCAAATGGAGTTCTCACACCAGTTTTAGATTTGAGTGCACTACGCGAAAAAGAACCAGTGGCAGTAACAGAACCCAAAAAACAACCGATAACATTCGTAATACCGATAGCAATAATTTCTTGGCTTGGATTGACTAAGATGTAATAACGCTTTATTTAATAAATAATCATAATTCATATTAAAAAAAAAAAAAAAAAAAAAAGCCAAAAACCTTACTTTTGTAATCGTTAATTCTTGAAAAACTTTTTGCGATCGAAATATGTTCCAGAAGTGAGATGAGAATTATGATATAAAGACTTTTTAATACAGATCCAACTAGTTCAGTTTCAAGAGGTGGAACTTTGATATGTTTTAATCCACGAGGTACAGTTTTTACAACCCTGATTTGGAATGCTTTTTCCTTTTTATCTTTTAGGAGTAACCAAGCAATCAAAGTGGTAACAAGAATACATACTATGTATCGTAAGATACTAGTAAAGAACAAAAATTTTTTGTATTTTGGAAAACGTTTTCCTCCGTATGAACACCCAATTTTTACTGCATAAAGAAATGCTAGAGATACAAGTCCTATTGCGGCGTCAATTTTTGTTCTACCAATCGCTGCGAAAAAGTCTATGAGAACCCTATATGGAGGGTTTGTTCTTGTTTCAACACCTGTGATTCCAAATAAATTTGGAAGTTGGCCAATGCTGAAAGAATATATCAAAATATTAAAGAGATTAAAATATTGGAAATATTATAAATATTAATATGAACGAAAAATTTATGATTATCTTTTATTACCTAATAGTAATAACCGAAGCGGTGATGTAGCCTGAAATAACTGGACCTAAGTAAAATTAGGAAATATATTTATTAATTTTTGGTTTATACAAATTTATTTTATTATCCATAGACGCCTTATAAGCATTATTTACCTGGAATATAGTTAAATACCCATCCAAGACGAAGAAAACCAATAACTAATGAAAAAACCCCAGAGAATAAACAAATACACGTGGCAACTTCCGTTTTACTGTATTTAATTGTGCCACTATAATCTTCCAAAATTTTTGGTATGTTTTGAGCGAGAATAAGTGACATTACTGCGGTAGGTCCAATTGTCATATCTTTGGCAGTAGCGAAAATGCAATAAATCAACATTCCGACAAAAGAAGAATATAGTCCATATTCAACGGGAATTCCAATAATAGTCGCGAAGCCCATTGCTTGGGGAATTATAACAGCACCCACTGTAAGACCAGCGATAAGATCTCCGGTAAACCATGTTAAATTATATCTTCCGATCCAATCTTTAATAGGGAAAATTGATTTAATATATTCAAGAGAATAATGTGGGAAATTTTGGAAAACATCTTTAACTTCTGACGCAAAAGATGGTCTCTTTCGCGTGTATAGTAAGTTAGAATTATCATTCGACATGATCAAAAGGATTATGAATGATGATTATGGTAATTATTTGGTTATCTAACAAAAGTTATTACAGTATAAATAGGAAAACAAAAGCTTTACTTGTTTATCGGTAATGTACATTCGCGACACAAAAATTGCACCATCATTGATTATAAAAACGAATCCAAACAATTAACAAAAGGTCGATTTAACGTCACAAAATTGCATCATCGCGATACAACATAAAGACAACTAATAAAGTACTAATTATGATAATCATTGCGCCAAAAATTGAAATTTAGTAAAATTCAGTAAAAATTAGTACTACATATTTGACAGCAAGTACAGAAATGATTTTAGGGAAGACATTGTTTATAAATTTCTCGCATAACAGAAAACTTGTTATTAATAAAAAGATGCACATGTAAAAAAGTAAAAATCACATTGGATTTTTTCTTTGTAAAGAATTTTCAATATAAAAACTTTCAATCGAAAATTTAAATATCATCTCTTTTTAAATGCATTTTGATTTTTCCAACCAATTAATTATTAAATGTCTTCAAGAGAAAGTTCATTTATAATCTCATAAAAACGATTTATCATCAGATATTTATGTGTATGTGATAGATCTAAAATATAAAATATTATAAAACGAAGATCCAAAATTCCTTTTTTATCTAATTCCCAAATTGGATGAGATAATCAGTTACTCTAACGCATTTATTATTATTTATTATTTATGAAAGGGGAGTAATACGCAGATTTTTACTCCATTATCTGTTATTTACATTCATTTATCTTTGCGATTTTATCATTTATCAAATATAGTTATATATATTTTCTAAAAGGTATTCTTGTAATGAATTCGAGATATCTTATGATCACGATGAATTTATCGCATGAATTAAAAAATATGATGATCGGAGTACAGTATGATATATCAAAAGCAAAGAACTCAGACAAATAATCAGTTAGTGAAGTTAATAATTTTATTGCAGTTAATTTATTATCCGTCTATATATCAACCCGCCAAAGTGTGTTGAGACAGTTTTTTTTTGAAAAAATAAATTCCTCTTCTAGTGATAAACTATCAGATGATGCCTTTTTATAACCAAAAATATTTAATTTTAGTTCTTTATAGTAATTTCAATGAATATCAAAATGCCCAAGTACCTTCTCCGTTGAGCGCAGTAGTAGCTTGTTTATTTTAGCCAATAGAAACTCATTTTTTTTATCTCACCACTGTATATTAGAACTACTTTTTTATAATTATTATTGGCTCGGACCGTTTAACCGTTTAGCGGACACTTTTTTCAGTTGACTTTAAATTGGTATTATTCTGTAAAAGGTAACTTATTTGAAATTTTTTCTTTCATCGTTTAGAACTTCAAAATTTTTCGAAAAATGATTATTTGTATATGAAACATTATTATTGGCACCCAGCCCCAATTTAGATAGTCAGTAAGATGATAAAAGCACCGTATTATCACTTGCTCAATATCGCATAGAAATTTCGCTCCCACATGTTGTGCCGCAGGGGTTAAATATGTTTTCCACATGTAAAAAATTCTGTCCTTAGAATATTTAATAAAATTAATTGATATTTCTATGTGGAACTGATCACCCGCCAAATTATGATCCAATCAAATTTAAAATATTACGTGAGGCGAAAATTTCTGTGATGATATTGGTTAAATACCCAATTACATTGAAGTCTAATGTAGTCCCAGGGGTATATATTAATCAGGGGTCTTAGCACCTTTTTACCAACTTGACTCTAAAAGTTATAAATGACTCTTATTTAAGTGTCCGCGACTAGATGGTCAATAGTGAAAATTATAACTTTGGATATGAATAAAATTATAAAATGTTTTAAAAAGTTAGTACTTTATTAATATCAGGTTTTGTCTAAATTAGAGTAAATATTTAATATTGTTGATATAAAAATTTAAGCATTTATTGTTTGACTAAATTCTTGTCTGAAACTTTTATAGTAGTCTTAACCTTTTATTAGTAAAGTATTATATTAAACCACATTTTATTCATGCTTAAAGTTATAATTTTTCAAAATTAAAGATATCATTTGATAGCTTATCACTAGAGAAAAAAATTACACAAATTGAATCAGTCATTGTGTCACTTTTGAAGATATTGATATGGTAGCTATATACTTGTTAATATTTGATTATATTGTTATTTAAAGAAGAAGAATAATAATTACCCAAGATAGTTCTAGGTAATAAAAAAAGATTTTGGATTTTGTTTTTTTTTTGAATGATTTTTTTATAATCTAAATATCTTAAATATCTATACTTAATATCAATAAAATATAATAAAATAATAATAAAAATAAATAGTAGAATAATAATAAAATAATAAAATAATAAAATAATAAAATAATAAAATAATAATAAAATATTAATAAAATATTAAAAGGAACTTCTTCTTTCCCTGAGTATTTTGTAATAAGTTTTTTTTTTTTAATAATGAAGTTACAAAAGGACTCTAACTTATTATTTTGTGATTCATTGAATCAATAATAAAAAATAATATTTAATAATATTTTACATAGTATTCCGGAATCTCCCTCCGAATTTATTAATAATTCAAAGTAAGTAAAATGATAAGGTTATAATTTTTGATAATATGTTTTCAAGAACTAATTTTTGTTATTTGAAAAACAACCAATATTTTTCCTATTTTGAAGTAGTAACACAATTTTTTATTAGTATATTGATTATGGGATAACTTTTAATTACTTTTTAAACTTGTGTATAATTTTTAAATGTCAGAAAGAAAAAGAACTTTTGACGTTTTCTCGAGCCATAATAGCTCAGTTTCAAAAAAGCCACATATTCCTCAAACAACGAGTTCGAGTGAAAGTGGTCAGAATGATCAAGATACAAGCACTAGTAGTTCTAATATTTACAATATTATAGCAAACGTAGATATATCAGATCCGGAATGGCTCGAGGTATTCAATTCAATTCAATACCATTCTTTTTAACAGCAATTCCATTTAATAGATATGTTATAAATATATATTGCGTTTTCAATAATGTTTAAAAGAAATATCAAAAAGAAGCAATATACCGTGCCATGAAAGAGTACCAAAGACAGGCTGATCGCGCGTCAGAATTTAAACAGGAATTGATCGAAAAAGAAGAGGAGTACAAAAAAAGATTGAACCTTATAGATCAAGTAAGTTTTGAATTTTATAAATGTTTATTGTTTCTTTTTGAAATTGACTAACATTCTTTAAAAATGGAATATTTAGTTCTTGGATTACTTACAAAAATATTTGACGCGATTTGATGAGGAACATTTCGTAATAAATTTTAATTCTAATGGTATTTCTTTCATTAATTTTCATTTCTATTTTTTTTTTTTTTTTTTTTTTTAAATAATGATAATTAATATTCAGATATAAATATATTAATTTATTGTAAATTTATAATAATAATTTTCATTTTATCAATTTAATCAATTTAAACAATTTAATCAATTTAGAGAACTTTACTTTTTCATACTTACAAAAAATATCGGATATTATAAAAGAAGACCAAACACTTGAAAATACGAAGAATTTTGTTAAAGTACTTATTGAGAAGATCTTAATATGGTTACATGATCAAGATATTCTTATTAAAACATTACAAGCCGATAAGAACCTAGAACCACGTATTATAGATATTTTTACACAAAAATCTCAGTATTTGAATAAATTTTATCAGAGTGCTATAGATAAAGTTAATTTTCAAGATAAAAAATTAATTGAGGTATTATTTTATTTTATTTTTTTTTTTTAATATGGTTTTTTAATATTTTAATATATATATATATATATATATATATTTACAATATTTTTACATATTATTATTTTGTACATTATTTTTTGAAGGATTATTCTATAACACGGGAATTAGAAGCCACTAAATCAAATCTTGATTCAACTTCTCAACAACTCGAGGCTGCTCAAGATAAATTAATAAAATTAGAAAAAAATGTTGATAGATCAAATAGCTTTACATTAAATCCTTATTTACTTAATGAAAGGAAATCTGAGTCCAATGATCAATCGGTGAGAAATTAAAAAATTCCAATTTCTTACTGATTATAATTAATTAACTTTAATTTGTTTGTTAAAAAATAGAATAGTATGTCAAATCGGCCGATCGCAGAAAGAATGGAATTGTCTGATTTGAGAACTCTTGCTGAAAATAGATTAAGAGAATGTAATGATTCTCAAGCTGAGAAAATTGAATTAAAGAAAAGAATATATGAATTTCAAGAAAAGGTAATCGTATTCTTTTAAATAGTCCAAGTCTTTTTCTTATTTTCTTATTTTCTTAGTTTCTTATCATCATTATCATCAATTTAAAATAGCTCAAATATGTTCCTGAAGAACGAATTAAAGAATCCGAATCATTCAAGTCGATGCAATTAGAACTTGATCATCTTCGTCAATCCTATGATCTTTTATATACATTATTTGAGGAGAAATCTCGAGAGGTTCAAGGTCTTACTGCGTCTCGAGATAAGGCTGATGATCTATTAAGGGTATAACATACATATGTAGATATAATTGTTATCATTATATCCATAATTTGATATTTCTTTTTAATGTTTTTTCATTAAAATAATTTAATAAATTTTTTTTTTTTTTTGTTTTAATTCTAAAATTTTATTCTTCATTAGTCTGAAATGAAACGCATGGATCAGGAATTTCAAGATATAAAGCAAGGGTATCTTATTGAATTAGATAGGATTCGTACGAAAAGAAATGAATTAGTTAAAGACGTAGAAACATTACGTTCAATGATACCACAAGAATTTCGTCAAATTTCGGCTATTCGGTAAATATTTAAAAAAAAAATTATTTGAAAAATTTAGATTAGATAGATAGATGGATATATTCTAGATAAATTATTCTTTAGATGTTATATTTCATAAATTAAATTCTTTACACATAAGTATTTTTATATTTAATCAACATTAGGATGCTTGCTAATGATCGACTGGAATTTATTAATATTTTAAAGGAAGAAATTCGTAAACTTAATATAAAACTTGCAGCATTCGATGGCAATAGAAATGCTATCGAACATATCCGTAATGTTCAATTATCACAGAATGATTTAACATATCGAGAGTCTCAAAGAACTGATTTAGTTAAATATATTACTGACTGTCTATCATATGATAGCAGATCAAATAATTTTGATCAAAAGTAAGCAGAGCAGATTTATTTTTGGATATTTTTAATTTAATTATTTTATTTTTTTTTGTTAAATTAATTAAATTAAATTAATTAAATTAAATTAATTAAATTTGATTATTATCATCATCATTTCTAATAGATCTCAGGATAGTCCAGTAATAGAACTACTTTCTTCACAAAAGCCTGAAGAATTATATAATCGAATTAAAGATCTCGAAATAACAAATGAAATTTTAAAAAAGGTATTCAAGATTCGTTTGTTTTGTTTCTATGAGTTGGAAATTTTATGTAAAAATGAATATATTGATTAATTGATTAATTTGAATTAATAGAATGAAAAGTCGCAATCCCATGAAATTGAAATGATGTTTAATCAGCTCGAAAAAAGAGATGACGCAAATCATAAAAAAGCGTTCGAGATTTGTTCACAAGATCAAAGAGTGTACACATTAAAACAATCGGTACGAATTATTCTTATATTCATAATGATTTATAATAATTCATATAATTTATATAATTTTCCACTTTTATAGCTTACGAAATTTCAACAACGTCTTAATGCCGTCACAATGGAAAATGTTTCGTTAACAAAAGAAAGAAGTTCTATGGCAGTTGTCATACAAAATCAAATAAATGTAATTCGACAAAATAGTTATCTGTTAACGAATTATAAATCCCAGTTGGTATGTATTCCTAGTATTCCCGGTATTCCCAGTTAGTAGTATATTAGTAAATAATGTTTTAAATTGATTATTCTTTTAATTTAATTTAATTAATAGGAAATCCATAAAAGGGAAGTCGACAATTCTATTCAAGCATTATCTGTTTATAAACAAAAATACCAAGAATTTGAGCTTGATCTTAAACGAGAAAAGACAACCTCGGAAAATTTACGTATTGATGTATGATATTTTTTATTTCATTAATTCCATTATATAGAATTATACAGAATTTATTAAATAATTTATTGTTTTTTTTTTGTCTTTAAATCAAGAAAATAAATAAAGCCAGAGAATTTTCGGCGGAAATGAATAAACGTGATGATGAATCAAAAGCAATGCTCAAAGAATTTAGACATGTGAAGGAACAATTGGAAGGGAAATCAAAACAAATTGAAGAACTTAGGAAGACCCAATCATCTACAGTTTCTTCTGATACACTAAAGTTATTGGAAGCATATGAGGTATTATTACCATTATTTAAATTGAATTTTTTTTATGAGGAAAGCTAATTTATTTAAATTAATAATATATTAGACAAAATGGAAATGCTCTACATGTAATACCAGATTTAAAGATCATTGTTTGACCCTTTGCATGCATGCATTTTGTAAACCTTGTTTAGAACGACAGTTAGAAAGTCGTAATCGTAAATGTGCGAATTGTGGTCAACAATTTGGTAAAACAGATATTAGACAAATATATTTTTAGGTTGATCTCAGTTCTAACATAAAGGTGAATCAGAGATTTGGTCCTTTAGAACCTGGTCTAAAACTTGTTCTATAATTATATATATTTATATAAACCCTAGAATTGTCGAGTGTATATTTTTACATATTTAATGATTGTTTATTTTATTAATAAAACTTTTTTATTGCATTTTTTAAAGACTGATTTCTCTAGCTGTTGTACAACGCATAATCATGTGGCACATGATCATAACAGGGAATAATTATCACGTGTGCATGTCAAATGGTTTCGTTCTAAGGGATTATAGAAGGTACAGATGGATTGTTTTCGTTAGTTACGAATAGATAGTTATGATTACGGTTTCAGATATGATTACATTTCGAATATTAAATAAAAACATAAAAGATAAAAGTGGAAATTTTTGATAGTCATTCCATTCATTTTTTTTTTTTGAAATAAATAATAATGCATGTTTTAAATATTGAACTTGTAAATTAATAAAACTGTTAAAACTTACCACCGATCATCACCAGATAAGCAGATAAGGAGTTAAGGTTAATGAGGTTAAGGATTAACTTCAGTTGGAATTAGGTTATCAAGGAAACAACCCATGTGGCATTATTTTTGTTTATTTTGAATTCCCTCTTTATTTCATAAGAAAATCTTTGGCAATTTATATTTATGGAAATTATCACAAATATCACAAGATGCAACCGCTTTGTCTACGTTAATTGGTCTTTTATTGATAATTATGCACTAATTAAACTCAAAATTTACACTACCTGGTTATAGAAAATGATAATTTAACAAAGTCTAAATGTTTTCTCGTGACTAAACAAAAAAAAATCGTGAAAATTTAACTAAAATTCGTAATTCATTTTCATTAGACATTGTTGCATTTACATGCGTTTCCGCAAAAAGCTTGTGTCGCGCTAAAAACCTCATCCCTCTTTGCGACTTACAAAATTCGTTTTTGAATGCATCTCTTCTCTATCACATCCCCACCCACCATGTTTTGACTTTAATAGTAAAGAGATCTTGATTTAATTGCACCTTAGAACTTTCCTTCACTATCCACTTTAATTTAATTTTCTCCCTCTTTCAAATTTGCTCTTATTAATAGTTGATAACAAGAATTTTTTTCTAAAACACGAACTTTTTGGTCGAGGCGAGGTATTAACAAAACAAATAGAACTAATTAAAAGCAAATAAATTCTCCATATTCCTTTCCTTTTATTTATCAATCGGTAACGAATACTCCCACTTTTACATAAAAAATCTCTTTCTTTGGACCTCATTATTACTTTCTATTTATAATGACCGCCAACACTACAACACATCATCTAACACCACCGCCGACAACATTGGGTCACATAAATAATGAAAGAGTTGGTGATGAGATGGTTCATGCGAATAGTTCCCCCATACCATCAATACAAAGGAATCCACCATCCCCTAGAACACAATCTAAATCTATATTGACTATTGCCCTTCAAAAAGCTCAGACTGCCGTACAATTTGATGCTGCAAATAATGTGATAGCTGCATTAGAAGCATATAAACAGACCGTTGAACTTTTATCGCAAGTTATCATTAAGGCTGTAAATGAAGCGGATCGTCGAAGATTACAACTTATCGTGAGTTCTCATCACCTTTGTTAATTTATTACCGACGGAATAATTTTATTTAATATTTAAATTTTTTTTTACATAATTCCATATTACTTATTTTTAGCATGATACTTATGCTGACCGGATAAGATTATTATCGACGATAGCTCCAGAAAATGATAATGAAAATGATAATGATGCTAATAGTACAGATCAAGATCAAGATTTAAACGATTATTGTAAACCTTCAACAACTTCTTCTTCTTCTTCTGAACAACTATTGGAGGAGAATAGGAAAAGTAATGATATTTCATTTTCAACACAAAAAATTACCAAATCTAAAAAAGATAATTTCATAAATGATGATTATAATGATAATTCAACTGACCCGAATAACTTAAAACGATCCGAGGAAGACAATTCTTTAATAAACAAAAGTAATCAAAATAATCAAAAAAATCAAAAAAATCAAAATAACCAAAATAATTATACAATTAATCAAAATAATCAAAATAATCAAAAAAATAGCGTGGACGTTATAAAAAACAATCAAAACTTAAATTTGATTAATGGAATTGATCACACAAAAGATGGTTTAAAAAGCAAAGTTAATTATATAACGTCGTCACATCAAAAAAGTTTTTCTAGTACTTCAACGATAACAATAAAATCTTGGGCTTCCACAAAGTCATATTCATCTGAGAAAACTACACCCGTGTCAATATATGAGATTTCTGTCGATGGAACGAAATCTATTGCTGATACTAATGATATCTCTGGATTCGCAACAAGCTCTGATGAAGTAGATTCTTCTTCAGGTTCTGAAGAATTAGATTCCAGTGGTAATTCTGATACAAAATCAGAAATAACTGAAAGAAATATATTGACCAAAAATTCTTCCTCAAAATCACCGACAACAGAAATATCATTTTATTCCCCTTCAGAAAGTTCTTCTCCTTCTGAAAGTTCTTCTCAAAAAGAATCATCTCCATTAAATAATCCAAAAATAATAGTGAGGACAGAAAAACATACAATTCCGTCTCATGTTTCTGTACCTCCTTCATCAAAAATTACTTCTTCAGCTCCACCAATAGCTTCCATAGTTTCCTCCAATAATAGTTCTCCTCTACGTTCTGATATATCATTACCACCTCCACGTTCTTCTTCCACTCCAGAAAAAGCATTACAACCTCCCGTGAAAAACAATAATGTCTCATTGCCAATTACTAAGTCATCCGAATCAACAACTGATTCATTTTCAAAATCAATGCCTAAAGGTGATGATCAAGAGTCTGTAAAATCTATATCTCAACCCCAAGCATCTACGGAAAAATTGCTTGGTAAGGCATTACCTCACAACCGAAAACCTGCTCCCCTTCCCCTTCCATTGAAGAAACAAAACAGTTACAATTCTCGTAATTTAACGAATAGTTATCCCTCACCTAGCCCTAATTCAGCAACCCCTTCACCGTCATCCGGTTCCACAGGATTCGCAAAAAGATCAACTTCAAGTTCAGGGAATAGTTCGAAAAAAAGTACCATCCGATTCTTTAATAATAATAATAATAATTCTCAATCGTCACCATCAACCAGTTTTACTCAATCATTGTCACAAATTCCTGGGACTCCATCATCTCCTTGGTTGAGTAATTTTAATGTCATGCCACCATTAGGTAGCCCGACTCATAGTTCACCACCTAATAGTACATTCCGTAAAGAACCATCAATTTCATCTTCCAAGACGATAGATTCAGGTTATGCATCTGTCGTCACAAGTCCTTTTCCAAATACGTTACTTTATGATGACGAATTGGGTTTACCTATTGTAACAAATTCAGCGTTACCGGAACAACCACCAGTTGATGTACATTTGAAACCTTTTTGGTTGATGCATTTATTGGAACGTACAATGACCACAGGAGGATATTTGACCCCAAAATTATATATCCCTCGTAATTTGTGGTTGCAAGGTCATGCGAAATTAACTGCTATAGAAACTAAAACATCAAGTTGTGATGTTGTTTTGAATTGTTTAATAAGATTATCCAAGACTTCATTAAATGATATGGACGGCCTTGTCAAGGTAACATAAGTACAAAAATAATAGATTCATTATTTTTCATTGTTTTTTTCATTGTATGATTTTAAATTTAATTTCAAATTATTTTCAATAGGAATTGGAAGGTATCGAACCTATTCTAGAAGGTCTTCAAAATTCTCTTGCAAGAAAATTGAGTTACGTTGAGTCTACCAATGGTAAAGGACGACAGAGCACAAGTTCACTTATGAGTTGGGGATCTAAATTATCACGTGGTCTTGATCGAATGGGAATGAGTAATGCTATGGTTCGGAGTGAGGAGGCCAATGGATATGTTGATGTGCTTATTAAAGTATTTCAGAATGCAAAAATTGTTGGTATGTATTTTGTTATGAAATTATTCTCTAAATATTTTGTTCCAAATAAATCAAATAATAAAATAATAAAATTCTTTTTTTTTGTTAAATAGAAAGATATATTCAGTATTTTAATACAATGAAAGCACCCTACCATCATCATCACACTCATATTATGATTCGATTGTTCAAATTTGCGGATTATTTTTCAAATGTTCTTTGTCGGTTTGTTGTGCGCGATTTAGGTATATTAGCGGACAAATATGTGAAAAAAGGTAGTCGATGGGTTATCGAATGACAGCAATAAAATCATGCTTGGTCATGTGAGTTATAATTTTGAAGGGACAATGGTCAATGTAGTAGGATTGTTAAAAAAAAATTCTAGAGATTCAAAGTTACAGAAAAGTGGATTTTGAATGAAAGTTTTATTATTTATTTAAATTGTATTTATTTACATTTCCTTTTTTTTTTTTGTCAGTACTGATTTCCTTTATTTCCTTTGTACTTTTTACTTTCACTAATTAAGCGACAAAACCTAAATTACATTTTATTTCGACCTAAAAGGAATCCTTACTGACCTAATTCTTTCCATTGTATAGAAATTTTTAACTTATATAATTTTTGGTTTTTTTGGGAAATATTTAGAAAATTTTTTTAATCATGTATATGATTTTTCTTTTCTTATTTTTCTTATCATAATTATTGTTCCTAGGTTCTTTTTTTATTTATTTAATTGCTTTTTTTTTTTTTTTTTTTTTTTTTTTTAAAAAAAAAAAGGAAGAAAACCCATGATTAATTTATTATATAGTAATATTAATATTTTATTATTATTTATTTATACAATTCTCATAAATCAATCTTTTGTTATATAGCACAATATGTAATTTGGTAAAAAAGGAAGGAAATTGAATTTTATGTTTGATTTCCTTTTTAATATAGTATATATTAAAAATTCATTTTATTTATTCATTTCATTATTAATGTTAAATTTTTAATAGTATAATATAAATGATATTATGATTGATCGACACGTATTATCCTATAAATACCCGCGTCCCTTGAATTATTTTTTTTTCGTGTATGTTTTTAGCAACGCCGCGGAAAAGCAACTACGAAAAATGTCGCAAACAAAAAGTCAACTTTCTCAACAAGAATTACGCGTTTGGAACTTTGGTTTATGTCCAAGGTTATTCTTAGTGGTCAGCACAACACCCTCAAACATGAAACCCTGGAGCGCAACTGTATTCATTTATCGATAGCTTGCTGCCACAAAAGTCTTTAATTGTTGCCTATCAACTTTTATGATCTGTAATTATGTCATATGGCTATCAACTCAGATTATCTAATATATAAAATTTCCTTTTTTTGAAACAAACCAAAGAATAGCAAACGTGATAAGATTGATAAATTTAAAGTTTCGATGAGTCAGAATACATTATAACCATTTTTTTTTTCACTTTTTTTCTGCTTGACTTCTTTTTTCATTTTTTCCGCTTTTCTAATTTCAAGATTTATTATTATTATCATTAAGAAATAAAATATTAAACTTTTTTTTCTTTTCTTTTTCATATATATTAGGACGATACACTTGGATCCGAGGTGCGCGATTTCTATTATTATAGTTTTCTGTTTATTATACTAAATGTCAATTCGTAAGTTTAGAAGAAAGAAGCTTTAGGAGGTTATAGAAGATATTGGGATTTTGAGGTAAGTGGCGGAGTATAGGACCGTGTTGATCGTGGCCTGTGCCTATGCGTCGTCTCTATTTGTAGGTTTTCTAACTCGAGCTAATAGAAAACGATGATAATGTAAGCGTTTTAAATTTTTATTGATAGAAAATTGGAAATAGAAAAAAGAAAATTTCGTGTATATATTTTATTATTTTGTAATATTTTTTATAATTTGTAATATTTTCTTGATGAATAAAATAAAATTTTGAAAGAAGTATTGAAATTATCTTTATTTTAATTAAAAAGTGTTCATTACATATTATTTTGGTTGAGTGCACGTATACATATGAAAAAAACAAAAAATATATACATAATTTTACTTCGTTTAAATGGTTAAAAAATAAGTTGCATTTTTGAGATAAACTAGTGTTTGAGGGATGAGTTATTCTTCGAAGTCTTTTGCTGTTAAATTTTTCGAGATGAATTAATATTGCAGATGAGATATAAAGTCTAATGAAAGTTAAGAAGAGATATATCATTTAAATATTTTTTTATCAATCTTTCATTTCATTTTAGAATCATCATCACCACATTACTAAATTCTTTAACAATTTCAAAAAATAATTAATGATGAAAATTCTAAAGTAGAAGGCATGAAATCAATGAAAAGAATCCAAGTTGCTAGATATGTTTGGAGGAACATGCCAGATCAAGTAAATCGAACAAATCAGAACAAGGAAATTTAGGAATGATAGAATTATCATTCACTTTAATCCATAGTAATAATTAGTCAATAACATCGGAAGGTAGAATCTATTTATAAAATAGATTTGAAAGAACGAGAGAGAATATAATTTAACACGCTCTTTTAAATAATTTAAATAATGCAAAACAGGTGATAAAGAATGGACTTCAAAAAAAAAGGAAATGTCGAGAGTCAACAAAAAAAAAGCATAAATCTAAAAAAAAAAATACGAAATCAAAAATCTCATAAATGTCTCAAATAATCTAAAGAAACCACCTCGAGCAGTGATAGTGAATTGATTATGCCAGTTCCAATGAAAAGTTTGAAAAAGATAATGTAAATGGAAAAAATTATAAATGTTGTTAATCAGAAAGATTGATGAACTTTGGGTTGGGTTTGAAAAAAAAAGGTATTCTAAATTTTTGGTAAAAAACTTTTTTTACAAGACTTAAATCATTAATGATTGTATTAAATGTTGGACCTGCTAATGAAAATAAGTCTGGTGCATTATAATTTTTATTATTTAACAATTATTTTAGCTATAGAGGACAACTATGGTTGCGTATGTACAAGAAGGCAAGCGTATTCTACATCGTGGTGAAATTGATCTCACTTCAGTCTTTCGAAGAAGTTGGTTTCATAATGAGTGAAAGTCGGTATTTTCTTTAACATGCACTATTTATGAGCAACCCATTTTGAAATCACGAAATTAAATAATTTCAAGGGTATTGTTAAAGCTCATCGGAGGTGATTGTCACCGCTAAGAAAAATCACATAATTCCCCTAATCCACTTGTGATCTTAAGCAATTTTCTAATCATCCCTTCTCATTTTGCACGGTGCAACGATTTTTAGACCCCGGGTATAGGATAGTATCCTAAACTGGGGGTTTAGATTAAGGATTCTAATGTATATAAACGCGTCTTTTTTTTCCTTTTTCATTTTTTTTTTCAACTTTCTTTCTTAGCGATAAATTATAAGCATGAAAATAATTTATTATTATATTTTCCCTTTTCCGCTTTTTATTATTTTTGCTCTAAGTTTTATAACTTGTAAATAATAATATTATAATTTCTCTTCTTTTAGTGATAACTTTGTTGATTATATTTCATTGATCTCATAAATAAATAACTGTAGAAAAGTGAGGTATTTATTCTATCTATTTCTGTTTTGTTTTTTTTTTGTTTTTCTTTCTTTATTACTCTGTTATCTAACTCAGCTCATATCTTTTGCCATATCTATCACCACACATGCGAGTGCCTATGGAAATGCGTAAAAAACTGGGAGGAATAGTTTCATTATTTTTATAGAAAATATTAAATAAAGTTTATTTAATTTAGGCGAAATTGCAAAAATGCAAGAAGACCTCCAT